AGAAGAATATGATCATCCTTACAACAAAAATCTCTTTTGAACATGTCAGGTAGCAGAAGAAGAGAGTGATCCCTAGACGGTGTCACCTGCCTCTCAGCCAGACAGAACCAAAAGTAAATGCACCCCCTGGAGAAGGTGTTTGTACAGCCTCTGACACGCTGTTCTGCTTCCCGCAGCAAGAGTGCCCACAGTTAGCTAGCCAGATGCAAAAGAATTGCCCTAGTTTTTCTTAATGAAAATAGACTTAAAGCAAACACATGGCTGTTGATATATCTGATTCCTCTTGGCCTTCTTTCCCCTTGGCCACATAATCCCCCTGCCTTTAATGCTCGTGGCCTCATTGGGCACATATTATTTATTTAACTTTGGTAGAGAGAGAATACATTGCGGAGGCCTTGCAGTAAAGGATTCACTCTGGCAGGCTGAGGAATGGAGCGATACAGTTGACCAACTAACCATTTTATCCAAAAGCATTTTTATTTACACTTACACCAAGAAACTTCAGTGCAGTCTCGACCATGGTTCTCACTCTAAAGTAAGGTCCTTCGAATTGAAAGAAAAAATATATCAGGCCAGGCACCAGTGGCTCACGCCTGAAATCATAGCTATTCAGGAGGCTCACTGAGGATCAGTTTGAAGCCAGCCCAGATTGGAAAGTTCATGAGACTCTTACCTTCAATTAACTATTTTTTAAAAAAAACAGCCAGAAGTGGAGCTGTGGTTCAAGTGGTAAATCCCTAGCCTTGAAGTCAGTGGGAGTGGAGGGAAGCTCAGGGACAATGCCCAGGCTCTGAGTTCAAGCTCCCGGACTGGCACCAATCAGTCAGTTAATCAGTAATTGTTGAGAAGGGCCAGAAGCTATAATCTGTTGGTATTATCTAATATCATAAGTTCTACCGGAACTTAAGTCTAAATTAGGCAGTTGAGGTCTAGGGGAACTTCTCTCTGTAACACCAGGTGATTTGGGGAGCTAAATGTCTTCTTTTTTTGGGGGGGTCCGGTTGTGGGGCCTGAACTCTGGGCCTGGGCACTGTCCCTCAGCTCTTCAGCTCAAGGCTAACACTCTACCACTTGAGCCACAGCTCCACTTCCGGCTTTTTTTTTTCTGCTTATGTGGTGCTGAGGAATCGAACCCAGGGCCTCATGCATGCAAGGCAAGCGCTCTACCACTGAGCCACCTTCCCAGCCCGCTAAATGTCTTTATAGACTTTGGCCTTCACTTCCTTATCTAGGAGGGGCTCCTGGCCCTAGTGTTTGCTCTGCTTTGCACTCACTGAGCTCTCATGGTGCCCTGGGCAGTGTTCTGCATGTCACATAGATGTGTCGCATTCTGGCTGTTCCCTGAATAAACAGTCCTTGTCTCTGGTTGCTTTAAAGTCAAGGGCCTGTGTGAGAGCAGTTTTCCATGACACTTGCGTAGCTGAAGAACTTATCACAAGAGAAGATGAGTTGGGGATCCATCCAAGGTTTGGAACAAAGATCTAGGGCCCTACTAGCATCCCAGAAATGGGTCCCCCAAAGAAGCTTACATCCAAGTTCTATTGTTGATTTCTGTCACAATGGAAAGCCAGCCTGCATGAAAGGTGATCATCCAGGCAGAAGGCTTGCTTTTTTTTTTTTTAAAAAACTTTAGTGACAAGAGATAATTACTGTGGGATTGATCAGGCATCCAAGGTACTGGAGCAAATGAATCGTGCAGTGGCCAGTGAGGGAGGGGCCCAGCTGCTAATGGAAGTGGTGGCTGGGTCACCCTACCGTAATGTGGTTTGATGGAGCAGCCACATGGGCCTGCTATAATGTGCTATTGATATGCAGCCCGCCAGTTTCCCCCATGTGGCCACGGCTGTGAGCCGCTGGAGCAGAGCTGGGCTGCACAGCAGTAAATGAAGAGGAAAATTGAAGTAATGTTGTATTATAAATTTATAATTTCATCTGCCTGGCCAAGAGGCTGCTCAGCAATAGGGGTGTAGAGATGGTCTCCCCTACTCCTGCAGGTGCCAAACTCTCATCTTCCTCAGGAAATGACCATGTTGACCTGTCCAGGAAGCATGGGACGAGGCCCAAAGTTAGCGTGAATGTAGCCATGTTTTTCTTCTTCCTTGTCAAACATTTTTAGGGTATGCCAGGAAGAAAGTGTCTATGGCGGGATCGTGTGGGGGTCCTGAGTACAAGAAGGGAATGGCTGTTCCACTGTCAGATTAACAATAAACTATTTAAGACCCCTCCCCCCCAGCTCTGAAGTTAGAAGTAACAGGGCCATTTTTCATCAGGAAGGCCCCTAGGCAGTAGTGATTTGGCTGTTTGCATATAATCCGTTCATCAATATTGTTGATATAAATGGTATTAGAAAAACCTAGCACTGAAAGATCCGATTTGATAGCAGGTGATTAATTTGAAGGAGAATTGAGCTGCCCAGCCATGAAATAAATACCCAGGAAGGGGCCAGTGTGCACACATCTGAGGACTATCATTTCTTCTCTTTCTGTCTCTCCGTCAGGACCGAAGCTCAGCATCCCCTTAGCTCCTGGGTCTCAGAGAACAGCGAGTGCAAGCTGCTAGGACATTCTGTCTCACCTAGGTAGGCTTCTGCTAGTGAGCCAGGTGTGAGGGACAGAGCAGGTGGCAGGGCCTATGGAAGCAGAGACAGCTCAGTTGGCCAGTAAAATCAGTGAGCACGTATTTGAGAAGCCTCTGGCTGAAGCCAGGGAGAGAGCCATAGCCATAGCCATATAGTCTTGATTAAGAATTTAGTCTTTTGAGTACCAAAAGGGACCTCATAAGGCTTTCTGCAAATGCCAAGACTCTCAGGCCCCAAGAGAAAGGGAAGGCCCTGTCTTAGGTCAGGCTGCTATGACAGAGTTCTATAGGTCCTATTCTGTGTATGGACAACATTAATTTCTCATGGTTCTAGAGTTAGGGAAATCCAAGATGAAGGCGTTGGAGGATTCCAGGGCCCTTTTCTCACGGTCAGCAGCCCTCTGTCCTGACCTGGTGAAAGGGGTGAGAGTCTTTCTGGAGCCTCCTTGAGAAAAGGGTACTGATCCCATTCATGAGGGCTCTGCTCTTATGACCTGTTCACCTCCCTAAGGCTCCACCTCCCAATATAGCTCAGTGTGTGTTAGGATATAGGATTATGAACTTGGAATGTCTTGGGCATTCATCCAGACCACAGTAAACCCCGAGTATGGTTTGGGGTCCAAGGTAGGACTGGAACTCATCTCCTGGCTTCCACACCATTCTGGATCCAGTGGTCACAGGCAAAAGCCACACCACTAGCATTTGTAAAGAAGTGGGGGGGGGGGTGAGTCTCAGCTCTGGTCCTCTGAGCACAAAAGCCTGAACTGGCATCAGAATAGCAAAGCCTGACTGTGCAGAGGTGAGCAAGGTAGCGTGTTTCCCTCCTCCTCACTTACAGGGTCAGAAAGCACTTGAGAATCAACTGGGAAAGTAAATGATGACACCTTAGAGCTGATGTTTGGGGATGTTGTTTAGGAGCGTGAGGGAGCACAGAGACATGAGGCGAGTGGTCTTTACTGTCCTGGCTGCTAGAGGGTTTCCAGGCTGTGTGGAATCCACTTGTTGAAATGGTGCTCACACAGAGCTTTCATGGAAACTACAGGAACAACGCTGGCTGCTGGAAGCAGCAAAGGAGATCATTGCAAGGAGTGTGAGCAGTGTACCGAACCCACCAGAGCCTAAACAGGACTGAGAACAGAGGCAGGAGCTAGGGAGCTGGGAGGAAGCTCTAGCTGCTGCCTCCTCCGAATGCTGCTGCTGGCACCCGCGTACATTCTGAGCCATCGCCCCTCACTCCTCTGCCCACTGGCTCCCAAGGCAGCACCTGGGGAAGGGTCGCACTGGCTGAGCCTACGTTCACTGGCCTGGCCTCCTCTCGAGTCTCACAAGGCAAGGACTCCAGCCCTGGCAGCCCCAAACCCAGTCACTGACCTTGGAAGCCAAAGCAGAAGGCGAAGTAGCCTGGTGGCAGGGCAGCTGTGGAGGTATTTGGGGAGTAGCATTGTTCTGAGCTTCCCCTACTGAGTGGTCAGGAGGGAGCATGGCATTTAAGGCCAGCAGGGACAAGTGAACCTGCTGTGGCCAAGGAAAGCCCAGCTACACTGGCCATCACTGTAGCTGGAGATGAGGCAGGGATGTGAAGAATGAAGTAGGCAGAGCCTGCAGTGACATCTAGAAGTCATATCGACACTAGGTCTTCCAGCAGGTTCTCTGTGCACCTCAGGCTTAGCCTGCAGCAGCCTCCCCAGACAGCTTTCAGTAACTGGTCACTCACTCTAGGTGTGCTGCCAAGACAAGGGTCTTGATGTAGCCTTGAAAACATGAGACCTTGGCTTCTGCACCTGGGCCACGCCTCACGGTGCACGTTTTCACACACCCATGCCCCCATGACTGTCCCCAGGACTTCCTGAGACACTGGCACCACTGTGGCGTGTTGTGATCACCCTGCTTTCTCCCCCAAGCCTCAGGCCAGCATTTGCCTAAAGCCAAGGTCAGCCAGCCTTCAGGTTAGCCACTAAACTGAGACACCTCCCCCCGCCACACACACACACAACCCAGAAAACCCCTGTTCTGCCTGCTGCTGGGCTTGTTGTCCACCACCTCGGGAGGAGACATTACAAGGACTTTAATCTCCTACTGTCAACAGCTTTATAGTAAAGTACATTCGGGGTAAGCTCTCCAAATGTCAGAGCCCGGCACAGGCCCTGTGTTTGGTGCTAATGTGTGGCATTTACTCTGCAGGTTCAAGAAAGTGCATGGGCTTTGGGAGGTCTGGGCTGCCCAAATACGGGATACCAGCAGGCTGACAGCCCCACCTCCCACTCCCGCCACAGGAGAGAGGTGACCCGGGACCTGGGTAAAGATCCGCCCCAGAGACAAGTCATTCTGTGAAGGAAAATGACTCTGGCATGTGTGCATCACCTTGGGACTGCACTCCAAAGCTGAGGCCGCTGTTTTAACAGCTCTCTCTTTCTGTGTTCAAGGCTACCCCAACTTTGTGGCAACCTATGGCCGAGGCTACCCTGGATTTGCGCCTAGCTATGGCTACCAGTTCCCAAGTAAGTGCCTCGGACTCCTGGGATGTTGGGAACTGGGGAGGTGGGCTGTATTTGGAGGAGGGGAGGGCCTCGAAAGAGGACACAGCTCATACATTTCTCCATTCCAGAGATGACTTGGGCGAGCTACCTTGCGCCTCCCTTTAGTACAGGGTCAGAAAGCAGCTCAGTGTCTGATTGGCTGGAGAGTTTGAAGACTCTATTGACAGGGAGGGAAGAGAACAAAGACAAGATGCCCCTGGCCAGTTCCTTTTTTTGAAGCCTGCTCTAGGGTTCTTTTTGCTGGAGACCAGGGCTTCCTTTCACTGTCTAGCACCCCGTCACCTGTCTCCTTCATCCCAACTCCTCATGCTTGAGGTCCAATGCCTCCTTTTCTCCCTCCTTCCCCTCCTCTTGTCCTTCCACCTGGCTCTGATCACTGTCCTCGGGGCCCTTCCGTGCTGTGGGTGGGGTGGCGCTGTCTGCCTTGGGTGAGCTGCACAGGCTCTCCTCTCATTGACATGACTGTCGGGCCGCAGCAGGTACCAGACGGAACTTGCTCACACCCTGGTGCTCCAGCCCTCAGGTGACTGGAAGACCCAGGGCAGACCCAGGCCAAGCAAAGTCTGATGGGGATGGGGAGGGTACTGCAGGAAGCTTTGCCTCTCCCTGCAGAGGTGAATTAGTTCCGGGACATCGGGTGTAGATGGGGGAATATAGTGGAGTGCCTAGCGTCTGGGGGAAGGTTTAGCTGGGGTCTCCAGAGGGGTTGTTGGGAAGAGATTTATCCTTTGTGGTTATCACTGAGGACAGTTCCACATGGGGGACTCTAGACTCCTGGCAGGTCATTGCACCTCCACATGGCTGACTAGGTGGCCTATGAGCGTCAAGGTCTGAGGGGCTCAAGGCGCAGAGAGGTGTCCTGGAGGGGTGGGTGGGCAGAAAGAGAGACCTGAGGTAGCATTGGCCACAAGCTTGGGAGTGGGGGGGCGGGTGTGGCAGGAGATGGTAGAGGAGGCGTTTGGGATACTCAGGGCCTGCCCCATGGCTCCCTCAGCCCAGGCGCTTGTCCTGACTCTGGCACCCATTAGACAAGTGACTGTGGCAAGGCTCTCAGCTTCTCTGGGCCCCACTTTGTTCATAAGCAAGGGGGCTGGGTGGCATCTTTGGGTTCTGTGCACCTCTCCAATGGTGTGGTCAAAGGGGAGGAGGGCAGCTGCAGCAGCAGAGGCTTGAGATAGGAGAGCTGGGAGGCAGGCAGCTGCTCTGCCATTTCTTCTGGGGCCAGCTCAGTTCCCTTCCTGAAATGAAACCTCAACAAAGATCCTAGGTGGCCCTCAGAAGCCCCCCCACAACCACCCCACAGCAGGGGGGCTGTCTCTCCATACTCCACTGCCAACCCCAAGTCCCTTCAGTTGTTTGTGCACTAATATAGACTGAGCCACTAACATTTTAATTTAAATTAAATTTCAATGAAAAGGAAAATTTCCGTTCTTTGGTGTCCTGGGCCACATTATAGCTACTCAACAGCCACATGCAGAACACAGAACATTTCCATCATCCTGCAGAGGCCTGTGAGACTGTGCTATTGTAGAGGTCAAAAAGAGAGTGTATGATCTACACTCAAACATACACGCACGATCCAGCCTGGAGTGTCCTGCAGACTGGCACTCTGTTCCCTAGCCCTTGCCTTCAAGAGACACACAGGCTGACCCATCTCAGCTCCCTGAGAGGGTGCCGAGCTGATCTACACGCTCAGTACAACTTGCCTCCATTCATAATCAAGTTGCCATAGTCCTGCAGCTGAATGCTCGTCTTACCAGGGCAGAATTAGGAGAACTTAACATGTAATAATTTGAGGAAACAACACACTGAACCCCCTGCTGGGAGGCTCCTATGTTTTATAAGAGCCTTCCCTTAGGGATTCCATGAGCCAGCTCAGGAAACATCTGGTAGAACTCTGTCTCCATGACCTACATTCTAGGTCTGCCCTAAGTAGACAGACATGCAAAAGCAGCCAAACTGAGACTAGGTACACTGAAATAGGATTGGCAGTGGGGGTGTGTATTGGTGGGGGAGAAGGGGGTTTGATTGTGCCCTGAGATAATGCTGCTTCCCATGGCTGTAGCTTCTACAGCTTACAAATCGGCACAGTCACTAGGTGTGAATGGGGCAGAAAGCAGGCATTGCAGTGGACAGCACTATTGATCCATGGGCACATAGGCCACATAGTTTGGATGATTCCTCGACCTCCCTTGTAGGACTCTGAGAATAAATGAGGCGCCCAAGAAAGGGGACCGGGCACCAATGACAAACACCTGTAATCCTAGCTACTCAGGAGGCTGAGATCTGAGGATCATGGTTCAGAGCCAGCCCAAGCAGGAAAGTCCGTGAGACTCTTATCTCCAGTTAACCACCAGAAAACCACAAGTGGTGCTATAGCTCATATTGTAGAGTTTCTCACCTTGAGTACTGAAGAGCTCAGGGACAGTACCCAGGCCCAGAGTTCAAGCCCCACCACACAAAAAAAGGGAAGGGAGGGAGGGAGGAAGGGAAAGGAAGAAGAAAGAGAGAAAGGAAAAAGGAAAGAAGAAGGAAGGAAGGCAGGCAGGCAGGCGGGCGGGCAGGCAGGCAGGCAGGCAAAAGGTGCATGTGTGTGGAGAGCTGCTCTTGTGGACAAGCCGGGTGGCAGCTGTCCACTTTGGAAATGGCTCTTCCCCAGGCCCAGGTGTCCACCCCACCTGCCCATCATGCAGAGTAGTTTCGAGTTTAGAATTGTGACTATAATCAGTGGTCCCCACACCCTCTCACAGTCACCTCTGGACTTCCCGTGCTCACTTAATCTGCTCCCTTCTGTTTTTCATTTCACTTTGCAGACTATTTGCCAATTTTTGCAAGACAAATTTTTCGGGTCTGCTCCCATTTCTAGAAAGGACACCATCCTGCTGGTCCACTCCACCTGCTGTCAGGGCCTGCCAAAACCCTGTCCTAGGGTTTCTCTTTTTTAATTCCTGGAAAAGACCTCATTGCTTCACTCAAGTTCAAGGGGGAGAAAAAATCAGACTTCATGCTCGCACTCCCCTTCCTTCTTACCTCTCCTGTACACATGGTGAACGCGACACACCCCCTTCCCAGCTCCCCACAGACTATGGCAGGGTCCACACACTTTCTGACTTCTTGAGACTCCTCAGGGTGCAGAAAGGTGTCAAGTTTTTAGAATAATGATTGAGCAGGCTTGCTAGGCATTTCATGGGGTGAGCTTTGAATTGCTGGAGGTCGAGAGAGGGATTGCAGCCATATGACTCGGAGCACTCATGTGCTGCTGTGGACAGTGGTGAATACATATTACCCTTGTATAAAACATGGAAAACAGCCGGGCGCTGGTGGCTCACACCTGTAATCCTAGCTACTCAGGAGGCTGAGTTCTGAGGATCACGGTTCAAAGCCAGCCCGGGCAGGAGAGACTGTGAGACTCCTATCTCCAATAAACCACCAGAAAACCAGAAGTGGCGCTGTAGCTCAAGTGGTAGAGCGCTTGCCTTGAGCCGAAGAACTGAGGGACAGCGCCCAGGCCCAGAGTTCAAGCCCCACGACTGACCAAAAAAAAACACACATGGAAAACAAAATATAGAAGAGCACCTGTGCAAGCATTATCAGATTGTTTTTGTTCTTTGCTGTCAGTCTTTCTGTGGCTCTGGCCATAATAATAACACCTGTCTTTGAGAAGTGCTACAGTGTCTGGCACTGCCTCATGTTAAACACACACCTAGGTACCAACCCACACTGGGCTCCTCCCTCCCTGGTGTCCGCAGCCTCCCTTGCCTGCCTGTGCTGGCCTAGCCTTCCTAGTGATATACTGGGATAGGAAGGAATGGAGCATTAAGAACCATCTCCATCAGGCCACATCTCAGGGCTTGGCATGGCCACCCCAAGAGGATCTTTTCCTATGATTCTGACCCCCCCCTCCCCGCAACTTGCCGCTTTGAATTACCCTCACTCTTTCAGCTTAATAGCATACTGCTCAGTTGCACCTGCAGGAGTTACCCCTTTGTCTGTGGCTGTGTTTTTGAGAAGTGACCCGAATGCTTCCATTTAATGCAATGGATGTGAGCAAATCCATACACTTGAATGTCAGTGTCCTTGAGACCCAGCGTGTGCCGTGTGACTCATCTCATTAAAGATGCTTGATGAGATAACTGGTTAGTTTCCTTTTTATTTCCACGGACTTTTTTTTTAATTGTTTGCTTGGGTGAGCTTGTCCTGGTTGTTTGTTTCACAGTCATTTCAGCCATTGTGGATTTTCTCCATCACTGTAAATAGTGTATCTGTGCTACTCCCTAATGACATTTTTTCCCCCTGTAAGCAACTGAGGTAGAAAAATAAATTGTTTACCACGGACATGCTGTGTCCCACCATCTCTAAGCCTGAGAGTGTCCTGTTCTCGCTCCAGGGGAGGTGAATGCACTAAATAGCCTGTACCAATGACAGCCAAGTACAGTTCCTAAATGTGTGCCAACTCCCCCTGGCTGCAGCCTGTCCCCCGCCCTCCCTGCTCCCACCATGGACAGCCAGTGCGTGCACTCACTCAGGGTGATCTGTCCTTGAGCAGTGGCAGAGCATCTGCGAGCAGCAGCTGCATCGGCCCCTGCCTTTGCCGTTATTCCTGCCCGCCACTGGGAATGCCGCGGGAGCATCTGGAGCCCCCACATCTGCACACCAGGCATGCGAGTGTGTACAGGGCTTGCTTTCAAGTGCAGGTCAGTGGTAGAATAGTGGAGATGCTGCTGGACAGGAAGTGAGAGGGCCTAGTGTCCAGGTCCCACTTGGATGCTTGGTGTGATGAAGATAATGAGTGGCTACCTAGCAAGCTCCAGGTCCTGAGTTCAAACCCCATTACTGGCAATTAAAAAAAAAAGGAACAGACAAGAGGAAAGAAGGAAAAGCAAAAATAATAAAACAAGAATTAGTAAGGCCTAAATAAAGAGGCCTGGATGTAATAAGGGTCTGATTATCGTCTGTCTTCT